CAAACCCGAATCACCCCGGACCCGAGTTACCCCGGATAATTCGGGCGCCCAATTTGGCCGCTCCGATGTTTTCGATGCGTGGGCCCCGGAGGTTTGGACCTCTTCGCCAGGGCCAGTTCTTCGCTCTGACGGTCGCGAGGCCCGGCCAAGGCCCCTGGATGCCGAAGACGTCCAGGATCCCGCCGCTCCAATTTCGTCGGAGCGTCGGATTTTTTCACAACGTCGACCCCCAGAGGTCTCGACCTCCCTGGGACATGTTTTTCATCCCGAGTCGTTTTTTTAGCCGGTCCAGAGGCCCAGTAGGGGCCCCCAGAGGCCGAAAATTGGAAAAACCTCCCGTCGTGAATTTCTCGTGACGCGAGGGGTTCTGGGGACCCAGGTCATCGCCGAAGCATCGATCTCGTGTCCCCGGTCACCATGGTCTACAGTCAAGCCGCATAGTAAGGATGGAACAGCTTCCCAAGAATACCCTTGCATCCTTGCCTCCTCGGCCCATCCTTGGCCACTTCTGTGGGCCGCGCCCCGCTGGCAAAGTGTCGACAACCTCCCAAGGCCCCTGCATCCTTACCGTGCGTCCTTATCATACGGGTTGATCGGATGAGGAGGAGGAGGACGATGAGGAGGAGGAGGAGGAGGAGGAGGAGGAGGAGGAGGAGGAGGAGGAGGAGCAGGAGGAGGAGGAGGAGGAGGAGGAGGAGGAGGAGGAGGAGGAGGAGGGGAGGAGCAGGGTGAGGGAATGGACGGGACCGGGAGACGGGAGGTCGCACGTCGAGTATGAGACGGATATTCGGCATTACGGCCACGTGGACTGCCCAGGTGGGCCTCCTCGCTTTGCCGTTGTTGTCTGGCGCGCCGCGCGCGCGGCTGGTGGCAGCCGCGCCGTCCCGCTGCCCCTCGCGCCCTGGCCACGCCCTCCCACCTCTCCGCACGTCCGTCCCCCGGCCCTTCCCCGTTACTTACCCATCCATGGGGGGAGTCCCCGACGTGTGACGCACGGCATGCAAAATGGGGGACGAGCAAGGAAAGAGCGGGCTGCCCGCTCTCTGGCCGCACCCGCGGCCTGGCCTGCGGCCCCAGCGGCAGCGGCAGCGGCAGCTCCGGCCTCGATGTACGGGTCCTGCAGGAACCTGAACTCGGCGGCGAGCGAGGGGGGGAAGTGAAAAGGGGCGGGCCTTCTCAAAAGCCTCGGAAGTTCCGCAGCCTTCTGAGAAGTTTCCTGAGCCTTCCCCAAAAACAGAACCACAACTTTTCAGAAGGCGCGAGGGCTTCTGAGAAGTCCCGCCGCCTTCTGAGAAGGCCTTTTCCTTCTCATTTCCCCCTCTCGCCCGCCGCCTATGATTATGAACACCTGGAGGCCGTGCTCGATGGACGGAACCGGGGCGCTCGTGGGCGGGCTGCACGTCCAGCCCAGGCTGCGCCGCACGCGGCGCCGCGGCCACCAGGCAGCCCAGGTCGGAGGGAACTCCTCCTGCAGCACGGGTCTCTCCGGAGTCCTGGTGGCCACGCCGGTGTGAGCACCGCCCCGCGTCGTTGCGGGTCCCCATCCTGTTCAGGACATACGTCCGAGGCGGGAATTTATCCATGTCCACCGCCTGGAGGGTCAGTTTTCGGAGCCTCGGCAGGCGGTGGATGTGGACATATTCGGGCCCCTGGGGGCCGAAATACATCCATATCGACCGCCCGCTGGGGCACCAGGACGTCGGTTCCCAGGCGGTGGATATGGATAAATCCCCGCCTCGCAATACGGACATCTGACCGCCAGCACGGCAGAGGGGGCCTTTCGCCCAGCACCAAACGCGCAGCCGTGAAGCTCCACCCTCTGGGCCGTGGGCAACGCTGCTCCAGATTGAGGCTGCGTCTGGTTGCCACCACTGCTCAGCTGCGTGAGTGAGCAATGAGCTTGATCCAGAAACATGTGCAGCTGCCGAGAAGACCACAACACATCTGATGAGAAGGTTATCTCTGGCAAGGGTCTGGGCATCCTTAGGCGACAGGTTCGCCGCACCCCGCTCGTGCCCAGACCTGCGCATCACCCTCTGCCCAGAGAGCCAGCCCTCGACACACGCCACGACCTGGGAGGCGCCGCCACCACCGCAGCAGTACTCCTGCACAAGATCAGGTCGGTCCAGATCTTCAGCTTCCCCGGATCCCCGAAATACTCAGCGACGGCATCCCTTGATCGGGGGCGGAAAAGAGGGGGGTGATGACTAGGGGGGAGTGGATATCACCGCGGGGGCCATCATATTTCCCCAGATTTCATGGCGCCTCTTCTTGTTTCATTACGTCCCTGGCCCCCCAGCTGGGCCGCGCACGTGCCGCCGGTCATGATTTGCACCCCCCCCTTTTGGATACCCCCCTCTTGGCCGCTCCCGACTTGATACACCCGGATGCAGAGAAACAGGCAAGAAATGGACGGCGCGGCTGGTGGCAGCCCCGACGTCCGCTGCCCCTCGCGCCCTGGCCACGCCCTCCCGCCTCTCCACACGTCCCTCCCCCCTGC